AACTAAATAAAACTGAATTAAAAGAAAAAAGTAAAAACTAAATAAAACTAAACTATAATAAAGAATCCAGAACTACTATAACCCTGGTCCACTCACCCTGAAGCGATCAGTGCTCTGGACTGGGCCATGGCGATCCTCTGCAGCGCCGGCCGGCTCAGCCCGGCTAGGCTGGAGCGCTGCGGCAGCGGGGCGTGGCACACYGTCGTCGTGGCCGAGGGCGGGGCGCGCTGCGGCCACATCACCGTGGAGGAYGGCGACGGCACCGGCGAGGGGGGCGTGGTGACACCGCTGGCCGGGGTGATCAGCATGGCGGTGGGCACGGGTTCGCCGGCGCTGGACGAGGAGAGTTTGGGGGGCACGGCGGGCGGGGCAGAGGAAGGGGGCTGGGGTGGCGGCAGAGACGGGGGAGGCGGTCTGCTGGAGGCKATGCCCATGGAGGAGGTGGCGGCGGTGAGGGCGACGAGCGACTGGGCGAAGAGCTGGGCGTTCTGTCGTGGCGAGGCCGTGTTTTTGYTGATGGCGAGGCCGTGCGGCAGCGTCTGGTAGTAGCTGAGGTTCGGCTGCTGACCCCGGCCCAGCGTGGCGGACTTAGACGGGCTCAAGGGCTTGGAGGCGGGGGCTGCAGAGTTCTTGGGTCGCTGCATGGTTAACGAGCGCCGACTCAGCGTCTGTATGGCCCCTCCCCCTCCCATACTGCTCTTCACACTCAGGACCAGCAGGCACTGCTGACAGGAGCAGGGCTGGCCCAGACCAGGAACCGGTACAGTCCCGTTAGATGTGACGGGACCTCCAACTCCYATGCTGGACCCTGAAACCCCTACACCCAGCAGAGCCCCCGTTAGCCCCCCGACTCCTCCGAGCCCTCCTCCTTTGRGTAGAGGGAGGGGCCCAGACACCAGCGGGTAGGTCAGGTCGGCACGCCGCTGGATCCTGCGACACCTCTGGCTCTGTCTGTTCACCTGCAGAAACCAGAACCAAACTCATTGAACGTGAAGCTAAGTGAAGATAAAAATCATGGCTTCAGTTTTCGCCTCAAACGATGATAAAAAGACGACGACAGGAAGCGCTGCCACAAACCTGCGTCATGTTCTTAAAGTCGATGAGGTAGCAGAAGCCGAGCGGCGTCAGGTCCAGGCAGGTCTGCTGGTGGCCGTGGCCGCTCTCGATGGCGATGGCCACCTCCATGTCGTAYGGCGTCCAGGTGCCGGCGTCGTTCTCCCACTCCCACTGCCAGCCCTGAGCCGGGGCCGAGGCGGGGTCGTAGAAGCTCCTCCGGACCGGACGGATGGTTCCTGAAAGAACACACAAACAAACGGTTTGAAACTTAAAGACAAACGGCTCCTTCTGTCATGTGATGCTATGAGCTCAGAAAGACGGGTCCGTCTCATTTAGCAGAACTGTCGAAGTGTTTTTACAATAAAACAAGTTTATTGTTGTTATGAATTTACTGAAACATGCTGCTGCTCTTACAAAYGGTTTCATATAAAGCTGTGCATCAGCAAGAATTTGGTGACATGATACATATCAGGGATCACGATACGATAAAACACAATATATCACAATACTGTAAGCAAGGTCATATCAAGATTTTTTTCTCCAAAAGATTTTAAAGTAAAAAAACTTGGATTAAATTCTGTTTATTTTATACAATAAGAACTCTGAACATTTCTTTTTATAACACTTTTTAAGCTTTAACTCAAAATCAATACAGTAGCATGAAATGAAACATCGTGATATATCAGTGTATCGAGATTTTCTTAAACCCCCTCTTATCTTTATCAAACTGTGCTGTCTTTTTATTTATTTATTTAAAGAAATGAGAACAAACTGCATCTTTAGCAAACTGCTGCAAAACACGATTTGTTTTTAATGCCTGTTTGAGTCAAAATTTGGAGCTAAGTGGATTGAATTAAAAAACTTTAAAGAACTGAAAGGAAATGATAAAATAAATAAATCCACCAGAGTCCAAATAAAAACTGTAGAGGTTCCCAAAGTTGTAATAAAAGCTGAAGAAAATCACTTTATTGGACGACAGGAGCTGTTTGGAAGGAAAATGTTTCTACTTTATGACGACGTCACAAAAACAGCTCTGATTTTCTGTTTAAATACAGTAAAAATCTTTAAACTAACTGAATTCTTAGGATTAACAGAGGTGTGTGTGAACTGGAAACTGTCAATTAAAATCACCAACACAAGGTTACACAAAACCATTTCAAAAATAACACCTACCGTTTAAAGGGATCCATGATTAGTTGTAACGTTAGACTTTACTTGAGAAACATATATTTTAACTGTAAAATAAAGACTGTAAAAATACTGTAGGCTGTTTTTATAATTTTTAAACTACATTTTAAAAAATGTGTTTTAACACAGATGGAGCCATTTGTGAGCCATCATATCAAAATGAGGATTAAGTCAAATTTGGTCAAAATGACCTAATTACATTTTGAGATTCC